TTAACTGAACAAATCAAAATGAAATTCAATATTTCTCTTCTCTTTTTGGCTATCTTTGCTGTTGTTGCTTTAGCAAGCCCAATGAATGATAACAATAATTTGAAGGAGCGAGGTATTTCATTTAAATATTGCAATAAACATCATTATAATCAAATATCATTGTTTTTGAAAAAATATTAACTATTGGGTTTCATTTGATTTTTCAATATCATTGTTTTTGAAAACGTATTAACTGTTGATTGATTCTCGTTTTATTTTAAATAATAAATAGCCTGTAAGTATTCTCATCATTTACTATTATATTATAGTCAATTGTTTTTGAAAACATATTAACTGCTAATTTTAAATAATGAATAGGACGTAAGTATTTTCATCATTTACCATTACTACGTCAATATCATTGTTTTAGAAAACACATTAACTACTAATTTTTACTTTATTTTAAATAATGAATAGGGAGTGAATATTCTCATCATTTACTATTATTACAGTCAATATCATTGTTTTTGAAAACATATTAACAGTGTTGATTAATTCCTGTTTTATTTTAAATAATAAATAGAAAGTAAGTATTTTCATCATTACTACTATTATTAAAGCCAATATCATTGTTTTTTGAAAACATACTAACTATTAATTTTATTTTATTTCAAATAATAAATAGAAGCAAGTATTTTCATCATTACATAATCATTACAGTCAATATCATTGTTAACTGTTGATTGATTTTTTTTATTTATTTTAAATAGTAAATAAGGCTGTATTTGCTCTTTAGCTCTTTGATAGCTTCATTTATTACTTTAATTTTTGGTTGTAATATTATAAATTGTACTCTTCTTTTACTTTTATCTTTTATTTTTTATTATTGGTTATTATAATTTTATAATAAGGTACTAATGCAAATGATAATGCTTATTTTACAACATAGGAAGCAAAAATAAATAAATCAAATTCATACACAATAAGTATTTATTATAATTTGAAAAAGCAAGTTTTACATGTCAATATAAATGGGAATGAAAAGAAATAAGTTATGTTCGATAAAAGAGTTAAATAATAATACGAATTGAAATACACACCCCTAATACTAATAATACAGGGTCGGGATTCGTACTTGTACTTATACACGAGTTTAATATTAATATTTAAATTTTCACGTGATTTTCATTGAAGTTTTCAATGATCGACACTTTCGTCATATATAGTAGATCAAGGGATTAAAATTAAATAAATATTTGATTAATATGAGCAAATTTAAAACAACACCACCTCTTGTAACTTTGAATGAAACGAATAAAAATCAAGGTTTTAATTTTTAATATATATTAATAATAATAATTATAATTAAAATTATATACAAGTATTTATGGCGAAAAATTATTTTACAAGTAATATTTATTTAATAACATTTATTGTGAAATAGTTGAAATACACCTTCATGAACCTCTAATTCAAAAACCTAGATCTAGAAAGAAAAGAATAGGTTTGCAAATTTTGAATACACTGACAAGGTTGGAGGTTTTGTTGGATAAAGAGGAATCGCTTGCAAGTTCAGATACTAAAATAGAGAACTTGAACCAGGTCTGTGAAATTTCTTTTTTATGAATGAATTGGGCGGCTGTGATCTTTTTGAAATATTATCATCGAATCAATTGAAAAGAGCAAAGGAAAAAAAACTAAGTGTTTAATTAGCTGATTGATTGATTGATTGGTAATGTTGATGCGGAATGCTATAGTTTTTAATCATTATTATGGGAATTAGATTATCAGACTAGATTAAATAATATTATATTAGTTAAATTTCAAGAAATTCATTCCACAAAAAAAATTATTAATTATTAATTAATTAATTTTAAATTATTAGGTGCTCTAATAATATCTATATATTATCTTAACATTATTATTATTATTATTATTATTATTATTATTACTGTGATATCTAGCAACAATTCAATAAAAAAGAAATTGAAAATGCACTTTCTGTTCTAGAGACAATAATATTTCAACTTGAAGATGAAGCTGCATCAAAGAAAGATATTCAAGTAAGTTGGTTAGTTAAACATTATAACGAATAAATGAATAATCAACCAAACAAGTGCATATATACAATAGGTTATAAATAAGTCTATTAATTAATTTTATAAATAACATACTTGAATATTATTATAAGACCTACTTGTTAGAACTAGGACTTAGTGATTTATTTCCAAAGTCTGCAAAGAGATTAACCCCCAATACTACATTATTTAATGATTCATCAAACAAAATGAATGCTATGGGTAAATTTCAATTATATATTTACATACATCTATATGCAGTCACTAACAATATTATATTAAATATAGCACATTTTCATGGAATGAATTTACACAATCAATTAATTTCAGTATCTTTACAACTCCAACAAGATATAAAACTTACAAATCATAAATATATGGCACATCAATTAGCATTACTTTATGTAAGCAAAATATTTCCTAAAAACAAATATATGCAAATTATTAAAAAATTGAATATTATATTGAATATTCTAATATTTTTAGCAATGTCTCAATCAAGTTGGTGGACCATTTCTTAAATATAGATCTCGTGTAGAATTACATTTTGATGCTATAAAAGCATTATCAAATAGTTCAGAAGAACCTCAACTTGATGAAGAACAAAAAAAATGGTTTGTAAATTATTATTATTATTATTTTTTTATAAGGAAAAATTTTAATCATTATAATTTATATATGTTACAATATATTTATAATTTGTATGTTTTAATATATTTAATATATTTATAATATTTATAATATAAATAATTATTTTCAGGTTATCAGAATTAACTGTCGATATTGTAACAGGAGTTTTATTCAGTGGTAAACCAGTTACTACAATGTCACAACCTTTGGCTGTTTATTTGAACAAAATTGGTGATGTGGCAATCGCTAATAAAACGATCTTGGATTAGATGAATGAAATTTCTTTAAATGTGAATTTTCTTTTGCTTAAATCAAATAATTCAAGCCTTTATTTATTTTTCTTCATACTAACAATTATTTAAAAGCTAAATGTATATCTTATAATTTTAGTGATATTTTTTATTCTAATTAATTAATTAGTTAGAAAGTTAATAAAAATAAATATTTAAATATTTAATCTTATCCATGAAAAAAAAAACAAATGATTGTATTATATTTATCAAATCATATTATTTTATTTAATATGGGACATACAGCAGCAAAGTGCCACAAACAGACTCTAGGGGATCAAGATACTGAGAGACCCCACCACATTTTTTTCGTGATTTATGAAGGTAAAATGCATCACTCCAAGGCATTCACAACTTGATATTCATGGTGACGAAGAATTAGGTATACTTATTTAAAGTCATAATTCCAGGTGGTGGTGTAGCACTGGTAAAATCTTTAATTGATTGAATAAATCAAGTTCTAAAAAAAAGCAATTATAAAAAGAAAAACTATCGTTACAAATCGCTATTTTTATTATGATTGATTATGTATGATAAACAAGTAGTAAGCCCAAAAATATTATTAGCATCAAGATTACTTAATGCAAAAAAAACATTCTCTCTACTTTAATTTATAACAAAAAAAGCTAAGATAGAAAAGTAAACGATGACTATATCAATCAAAAACATGTTGTCGTTCAATAACATCAAATGGATTGGCCCTGCGAAATAACACATAATATACCCGTCCAACAATAGGATCTTGTCGTCCTGTCACATTGTTATTATAGTTTTCAAATAATCGTGCAATAGCATCTTCCATTATCTGCATATCGTTAAATGCGAATACAGAATTTGATTGTGCCAGGTTTGCCCTTGGAAATGCGATAGGAGTATAGTTTGGAGTTCCTCTGATTACTAATCCAAAAAATAGTTAGAAAACTTTTTTAATGAATTATATAATATTTATGGTTATACCTGCGCTAACATTATTTTCAGTGATATTTCGGCTTGCGAGACCCGGTTGATTATATTCGATGATTAATAATGGGTCGTTACAAAAAATTTCATCGTCATCATCCTTATGTTTATTTTGAATGATATCATGCCATAAAGTGACTTGTTTTTTTGTTTCTTCAGAAAACTTCGCTGGAAAATTTATTTTTCTATTGAAATAGTTTTCTCTGAGTATCGGCTTTTTATCGATTTGAAAAAAAAATGACAAATTATACAGTTACCTTGCCCATTTATAATATCCAAAATACGCAAGTATCACTAAGAGTATGATTAACCAAATTGGGCTAAGTAAGATTCCCCAAAAGAAATAAGTAAAAAGAGAAGCCAATAATAAAATAACCAAAAGGGGTGAACAACAACAGAGAAGCACATAATAGCCGATTTTTGTCATTTTGGATAAGTTCGACCAAATAGACCGAATGTGAAAAATCAAAAAATTGAGAGAGCAGATCTAATGACGAAACGTAATACAGTTGCAGTGATTAATTAAATAATAAAAAATAACGGTGGCTTATTAATTATTATTATTATTAATTAGCATTAACTAATTATTAAATTTTTTTTTAAATTTTTTTTTTTTTTATTATTTATTAACAAGTTTTGTAATCGAGGATGTGCAAGTGAGCAGGAGAGACCATTCTATATTTCCCGTACCACTGTTTATTTATATATAGGCAAACAACAAATTTAATTTAAAAACCAAAATCATACAATCTATCCCAAGTAAGGAAAAAAGCAGTGTTACGGGTCTTTTATAATTAACAAAAATGCAGATCAATTATAAATGCATGTATTTAGCATTATATTATCATTTGGTTAATATGCTGAATACAATTTAGAAATTAACCATATCATCATGCTCCCGTTTAAAGCAAGAATCACATACCTTGGAATTAAGAAATGAGGAATAGATTGCCATTATGTGATCAATCCTACCAGCTCAATCGTAATCGACAATTTTAATGTTTTAACTCATCGTTGTTATCCTTCTTTTCGCTTCACAAATCTCGCACCATGCATCTTTCTAACAACCTCTTTCCAAGCACTTTTTTGTTGATTTCTGTAGGTTCATGTAGAGACAAATGTTCATAATCGCTATTAGTGAAAACTAGAGAGTTTCGCAACTGTGCGAAAGTCAAAAGGTTTCGCCCACAAGTCGAAACTAGTTTTGACTTTTGATTCGGTTTTGACATATAACTCTTAATTTTACTTTCGCCCCTTCAAAATAGTTTTGGCAATCGCTATCTAAAACCTCCATCACAACCATATACCATCCTCCCAGAACATTCTTATAACCAAAAAGGTAAGGGACAATGCCCAAAACTGCAAACTTCAGTAATTTGTGTTTGTACAGTTGCCTGAGTAGTAAAATTGAATACTTTATTTTTTGTATGTAATTTTGATATTGTACTAATAATCTTTTTTATACTGTTTTTTATAAAAGTTTCATTCATTTTAAAAAAAATCCATACCACACCAATATTAAATAATATTTTAAAAAATAAATTCTGTCATCGATATTCAATTCTAATTGCTTCATTAAAGCAGTCGCTGCAATTGTCAATAGTATATCTGGCACTGCAATATATAGAACAGCAATAGGCGGTTTCGGGGAATTGTTTGTTTAAGGGATTTTTTAATAACAACAAAGGTAAGAACATCACCAATTTTAACGAAAAACCTTTAATTGTTCTAATTGGTCATTTTTGAAATTTTTTGTTTATATTAACTAAATGTTTTTGAAATTTTAGCTACATTTAACTCAAACAATTATCGTTAATGACAATGAGGGTTTGTCCAAATAAGACTTGCCAATAGATCAAAGTCAAATTTTGATATTTTCTGGTGTGGTGCAAAACAATTTTTATGTTAAAGACAACACAAGAGACAATTTAATTGTCAAACGAAGAATCTGTAATATAACTACCAAAAACTCGACTGATTCCAGCATATATGTTTCCTATGAACATAATAATAGATATTTAACACATTCTTAATTTAGTTTTTTTATTATCTGTTATAAAAAGCTCACATACGATACTCAGTTAAATAGTAATAGTATTTTTGACCCATCACATACAATGGGAAGACTTGGTAGACAAAGTAAAGAGTATATAACGAAAAAAATTTTTTTTTGGTTTTAAAGGAAAATAGTTTTTATGAAATGCAAAGTATTGGTAAGATATCATCGGTAAAAAAAAATTATTTATTAAAAAAATTATATGTTTACTGTGTGATAAATTTAATCATCTTTACGGATTGTTAAAAAATTGATCAGCGGCTGCCTCGGATTATTATAATTGACGTACAAGTAAGGTCAGCAATTGTTGTATCCACTACCAGCTTAAAGGCATGACAATCCAAAGGGGTCAATCGTGAAATTCATGGTGTGCGAGCATATTCTAACACACTTTGTCGCGATCTTAATGCTGCGTTGAACATCCTTCAAATATTTTTGGCAATGGCATGAGCCGAATATTTTTAAAAGAAATAACAGAAACATAATGACCATTTCCGGTTTACATAAGGAATGACAGCTGTATATAACAAGAAACACTTTTGATAAATCTTTTAAATAATAAACTCTTTTAAGTAAAACTCTTTTAAATACTTTAAATATTTTAAAATTATTTTAAAGTACAATATTTAAAATATTGATTTTAAGAAAAAAATTTTTTTCATTAAGGTTTAATAACATAATTCTAAAGTGTTAATGAAAGTGAGAGGAATAAAGATGCTAGTTCACGTGAGGATGAAAATTGATCTATTTGTGATTGGTAAGTGCAAATGGTAAGTTGTCAGATGGCCCATCCACAATTGGAACAACGCCTACTAAAAATGCATTTAATAATAAAAAGAATAACAGTAGTAATAGTGAAAGTTAGACTTTTGTATGTATTTTTCTTATTATTAATTTTCTTTTTATTGTTTAATCCATTGTCCGTAAAAAAAAATTTATTAATTCCAAGTCATGTGTCATCATTATTTATAAAAAACAAAATTACGATCTAAATCAATAAAAATTAATTTTAAAAATGACAACCAAAGAAGAAATTAAAGAACAATTAAACATTGGGATGTTGAAGGAGGCGAAGGGGAAATTGAAGAAGTTTGAAGAAGGGAGGATGATGGGCAATGGTTGAAGAAGTTGAGGAGTAAGACAAGAAGTAGCAATCTTAGTGAAACAGAGGAGCAAGAGAAGGCGAGGCTGGAGGAAGAAGAGAAGAGGTTGAAAAAAAAAGAGGAGAGGTGGGGAAACGAAGTAGTAGAATGGAATAAAAGGTTGCGTGAATTCAATGAAGAAAAAGGTAATGAACAAATTGCGTAAAAAAATATACAAAAAATTATTTTTCGTTCGTTCCATTTATTTTACACTTTTTTCCTTCAATAATTCAATTTCGATTCTTTTTCATTCTTTAATCGGTGAAGGCAAGTACTTTTATACACCGGATATGGTGTTAATTTGTTTGTCTCTATATATATTCTTTTAGTACTTAATAATCTCTCCCTTGCACAAGCCTCTCAAAAATATGTCATTACTCCTGAATTTATTTTGACTTGGATTCAAAAATAGAAGACCAACTAATGAAGTTCCTCCGAAGGTAAATTAATGCAGTATTGCATATTGATATCCTAATTTATTTACTTACCATGTTTTGTGTTCCTACTATTCCAGCTTATAGCCACATATGGAAATGATTTCAAGTTTCTTGGTAGAGAAGAAACAACAGAACAGCTTTTGAATGGAACCTTAAATAAAAATGGTGTTAAAAAACGTTATTATGCACATCGGAATAAATTAAGGATCGTAATTTTCACCCAATTCCGTTTATTGCAGCAGGACCTGGGTATTGGGAAAACTTGGGTATTAGAAGAAAGTTTGAATATGTTGAAAAAATGTGTAGAAAAGATGACGATGTTGATTTAAAAGAACTGGTATATAATGCTGTGCTGATTGATGTTACATATGGGAATGGTTGTGCTGCTTCTGCAACAGATAGTAATATTGGTGGTGAAACAAGTTTGTCATTAAGAGTCCTCTATTGCGGTCGTGTTTACTTCGTCGAAAATTATTTCGTCGACAATCATTTTGTCGAAATCAAAAGTTCATTTCGTCGAAAATTATTTCATCCTCGAGCCAGATACCGAACGAGTTAGGTGTGAGGAGTGTGGAAAGTTAGTTAAGAAATTAGGTGAGGAAAGCGGAGTGTGTGGGAAGTGTGAGGAAAAATTTGTTTAATGAAGTTTTTTTTTTTGTGATGAAATAATTTTCGACGAAATGAACATTCGACGAAATGAACATTCGACGAAGTGAACTTTCGATGAAACAAACTTTCGACTAAATGGGTGTCGACGAAATGACTGTCGACGAAATGAATCAGACCCATATTTTTTTACAACACAAATAATTAAATATATAAAAAATGACTTCCACACATTTATTTTTTAACAATGCTTTTACTGAAACACATCCCAGTTTAATTGACTTAGAAGAATCCTTTGCTAATTTGAGAATAGGTTATATGCCTAATTCAATTATCAACAAAAATGAATAAATAGTTAATGAAGCAGAAGAAAGTGGAAGAAAGTTAAAATAAAATAGAATTACTAATTGACAATTACTATGTTGAATGTCAAAAATGCATCATCGATGATGACATGATTAGATAATACCTGACAAAAATGTTTTTTGTCATAATTAAACATAATAAATTTATATTCATTGAAATGTCAAATGGTAGTCAGCTTCAATTTGTAAATGTTAACTCAAGTGTTGATGATAATTTATTTCATTCAATTCATTAATGGCATAGGAGACTTTGATGAGCCTTTCTTTGAAGTTAACATGGCTTTAATAGGACAGGTTTCTGCAGGAAAATCAATTAATTGGCCAAATAAATCTTGAACTAGAGATAAATCTGTTTTTCTTTTCATTTATCAGATCAATTCACTTATTTCACTTATCAAAAAATGATAGTATTGAGCCAGAATTAAAATATCACAACAATCATAATTGTTATATTTGTAGTCCTAGAAACATCTTCATCAAATCCATCATCTTTAAATACTGTTGGTTCTCAAACTCATACTAAAAAACAAATAATTTATGAGGAAAAAGTAAAAAAGGGAGCATTGCTTGAATGTATTTCTTTAAATGAAGCCCTATCAGAAGTCCAAGATGCTCAAAATCTTAATGATGAGCCTAACTCATTACAGCAAGGATTACTTGCCCTTACCACTCCTCTCATCACTTTCAATGTCTGTTTCCTTTGATTGCAATAGTGGTTCAACAAGTAAGTTGAAATGATTGATTAGATATGGGCTTTTTATTTGATAATATAGGTATAATTTTTATTATATTTAAATTATTCAGATACATGTATTAAATTTTAAAAATTTTAATATATTTTTATATTAATAAATTATTTATATATTATGCATATTATATGATATATTGATAAGTACATCACTTCAACTCGTTAATGCTATAAGAGATGAAAACATTGAGTTGAAAAAGTAAGAAATAAATAATACTGCAATTATGTATATTAATTATAAATTACATTTATTTTTTTGTCAAAAACTGTTATTTTAGTTTGCATATTTGACATCCAAATTTCAAATGAAAAAAATTCCAAAGATAATTGTGAGAAATTAATTTAAATATTTATATACATTAGATGAGAAACTATAAATATGATAATATTGTTAATTTTAAAAATTAATAAAAATGAAAATAATCAATGATTGA